AGGTAATGTGACTGGAGTGGAGACCGTAGGCATTTGGGCCACTTCCTCATGCAACTTACTTGTGCCTTCAGGTCCTGCTCGAGCCCGATCTCTGATATACCACTCCCATTTAACGATGGAGTGCTGCTGTGCATGTCCAACTTTATGACTATGTAGGTCAGACAACACCTGGTTCATGATGGGCAGCCCAGGCCTCATGGTGACTTGGTGGCCCATGGTTAGGTGTTCAGTCTCTACTAAAGCCCAGTAACAAGCCAAAAGCTGTTTCTCAAAAGGAGAGTAGTTTTCTGCAGAGAATGGCAGGGCTTTGCTCCAAAACCCCAAGGGTCTGCATTGCAATTCACCAATAGGAACCTGCCAAAGGCTCCAAATAGCGTCTCTATTTACTCCAGACACTTCAAGCACCATTGGATGAGCCGGATCATATGGCCCAAGTGGCAGAGCAGCCTGCACGGCAGCCTGAACCTGTTGCAGAGCCTTCTGTTGTTCTGGGCCCCACTCAAACCTAGCTGCTTTCTGAGTCACTTGATAATAGGCTGCAGCAACACACCCAAATGAGGGATATGTTGCCTCCAAAATCCAAAGAGGCCCACCAGACATTGTGCCTCCTTTTTAGTTGTGGGGGAAGCCAGATACAATAACTTATCCTTCACTTTAGTAGGAATATCTTGACATGCCCTACAACATTGGACCACTAGAAATTTCACTGAGGCGGAAGGTGCCTGAATTTTCGTTGGGTTAATTTCCCAACCTCTAGCACGCATATGTCTCACCAATAAGTCTAGAGTCATCGATACTTCTTTTTTATTAGGTCCAATCAGCATAATGTCATCAATATAGTGGACCCATGTGATGTCTTGTGGAAGGGAAAGGCAATCAAGATCCCTACGGACTAAATTATGACATAGTGCTGGGGAGTTGATATACCTCGAGGAAGGACTTTGAAAATATATTGTTGGCCTTGCCAGCTGAAGGCAAACTGCTTCTGATGGTCTTTTGAAATTGGTATCAAGAAAAAGATATTGGCCAGATCAATAGCTGCATACCAAGTACCATTGCTCAAGCAATGAAACCACATCAGGAACAGCAGCTGCAATTGGAGTCACCACCTGATTAAATTTACAGTAATCTTCTGTCATTCTCCAAGATCCATCTGTTTTTTGCACAGGCCAAATAGGTGAATTAAATGGGGGTGTGGTGGGAATCACCATGCCTACATCCTTCAAGTCCTTGATGGTGGCAGTAATCTCTGCA